AGCTTGTTCAACAGCTCTATTGAGGTATCATCAACACGCCGTGCGATTCACCCATTTAAGGTATACAACTTGATAGTTTTTAATATATTCAAAAAATTGTGCACACATCAACACAGCCACTTTTGGAACATTCTCACTACCCCAAAGAAACACACCCATTAACCCTCCTCATTTTCCATCAACCCCAGGGCCAAACACAACCTCTAATCTCCTGTCCCTGTGGATTTTCCTGTTCTGGACATTTCGTATAAATGAGGTCGTACAATATGTGGTCAATGTTCACCTGTATTGGAGCAAATACCAGCACTTATTCCTTTATACTGCCAAATAATATTTCCTTGAATGTGAATATACCACATTATTTATGCATTTGGGTTGTTTCCTACCTTCTAGCTATTGTGAATAATACTGCTATGAGCATTTATGTACAACTTTTTGCAAGGATATATATTTTAACTTCACTTGTGTATATACTTAGGAGCAGTTAGAATTGCTAGGTCGTATGATAATTGTTTAATATTTTGAGGAAATGCCAGACTGGTTTTCACAGTAGCTATATTATCTTACACTCTTATCAACGTCTAGGAGGGCTCCCATTTCTTCACAATCTCACAGTACTTCTTATTATCTACCTTTTTGATTATATGGCCAAATTAGTGGGTATAAAGTGGTCTCTCATTTTTGTTTTAATTCGCATTTCCCTGAGTACTAATTATATCAAGCATCCTTTCTTTCACTTGTTGGGCATTTATATATCTTCTCTGGAGAAATGTGTATTTCGATCCTTTGTTATTACTACGAGTTGTTAAGAGTTTTTATATACTCTAAGCCCCTCATGAGATAAATTACTTGCCAATATTCACCAACATAAAGTTGTCTTTTCACTTTTTGATGGTGTCATTTGAAACACAAGTTTTTAATTTTGAGGATCTCCAGTTAACCTATTTTTAAATTTTATTCGTTGTGCTTTTCATGTCATAGAAGTGGCTCCAAGTTTTCTTCTGAGAGTTTTATAGTTTAATGTCTTACATTCAAGTCTTTGATCGATTTAGAATTAATTTTTACAGATGTGTGAGATAAAGAGCCAACTTCACTCTTCTGCATGCAGACTTCCAGGGCATCCATGACCACGGGGTGTCTTTTCCTTTTAGTCTTCTTTAATTTCTTTCAACAACGTGCTGTAGTGTTCATAGCTTTTGTGATTCCTTTGTGAAATTTATTCCTCAGCATTTTATTCTTTTTGATACTATTATAAATGGAAATATTTTCTTAATTTCATTTGTTCATTGTTCACTGCTAGGGCACAGACATACGACTAATTTTTGTACATTGATCTTGTATCCAGCAACCTTTCGTTCCAGTCTTATCTCATTTTCTTCCCTAACTGTCCCGGGTAGAATCTCCAGCACAATGGATAGGAGTGATAAGGGTGGAGATCCTTGTCTTCTTTTTGATTTTAAAGGGAAAGATCTTTTATCATTAATGATGCCATTTTTCAGGTTGACAAATCGCCTTCTATTCCTAGTTATGGAGTGTTTTTATTATATCATGAAGGGCTGCTGAATTCTGTCAAACGCTTTTTCTGTATCTATTCAAATGGTCATGTCATTTTTGTCTTTTATTCTATCAACATGATGCATTAGACTGACTTATTTTGTATGTTGAACCAATTTTGTGTTGCTAGGATAAATCCTACTTGATAGTATTGTCCAATCATTTTATACGCCACTGGATTTGGTGTGCAAGTGTTTTGGCATCTATATTAATAAAAAACCACTGCTGGGTAGCTTTCTTATAATGTGTTTGGTTTTGATATCAGGATAAATTCTGGCCACACAAAATGAGGCCGAAAGTGTTCTCTCTTCTTGTATTTTTGGAAGAGTATATGAAGAATTGGTATTAATTCTTGCTAAAACGTTTGATAGAATTTACCAGGGAGGTCACCTGGACATAAGCTTTTTTTTTTTTAATGAGTATTTATTCCCATGACATACAGGATCAGACAATTAAGTTTGCAAACTTGTTCCAGAAAAAGTGCTACGTACCTTATTGCCAAACATAAGTATGGCTACCTTCAAAGTACGCCCCTTGGGAAACTTTATACCCATGCCAGTGCCTAGTTCACTCTTCAAAGTACTTTTTGTAGTATAAATTCATGAACTTAATTGTCATAAAACCAGAGCTCTGATGGCCATTGCAGAAAAAGAGTTCCAAAGTTCCGTTGGGGGTGGGGTGGGGGACTGGACTCGGTGCTGGTGTTGGTACATAGCTTCCCAAGGGCAGTACTTCGAAGGTGACCATAGTGATATTTAGCAATGAGGGATGTAGCACTTTTTCTAGGATGAGTTTGCAGACTTAATTGTCTGATCTTGTAAAGTAACATTACTATGTTACTCCAGTAAAAGTATATTTCCTCTTCTCAGTTTTTGTGTCTTTATTATTATACATATCATATAAAACAGTATTTACACATTTTACAAACCCAATAATACACTGTTATAATTACCTCATAGAACTTTGTGATTAAATGAGCCAAGTAAGAATAGCAAGTGCATAGACAGAATCTGGTATGCTAATCTTCTTATTGACCATTTCTGGTTCTCCTCATTTCTTCTTGTGTCTTTCCCATCTGGTGTAATTTCCTTACTCCAATACATCTGCATCCACCCATCTCCTTTGTATTGACAGTATGAGATACAGTACATTTCTATCTTTTGAAAATAAAAAAATACAATTATATACATACTGTTTTATACAATTTCTATTTAAAGCAGTTACTAGAGGAAAAAAAGAACAAACGTGTATCTCCCTTTCATAACTGCATAATTACCTTTACCAGTGCTCCTTGTTTTTTAATGGGAATTCAGATTACTGTCTGAGTTACTCACTCTTGGCTTGGAGAACTTCCTTTAGTATGTCCTATAAGACGGATCTGTTAGCAACAAATTCTCTGAAGTTTAGTTGATCTGGAAAGTCTTCCTTCCACATAAAATTCATATTTGAAAATTCTGTTTTCACTTTTTGAATACATCAACCCACTGACTTCTGACCTTTACTGTTTCTGATGAGAAGTTGGCTGTGGTTTCCTTGTAAGTAACAAGTCTTTTTCTATTGCTGCTTTTAAAGATTTT